CTGGGGGTGGGGTTGGGAGTGGGGCCCGGGCCCCCGGTGCTGTCAGGATCGGTGCTCTTAGCCTCCTTGCTCTCGTCGTCCCGGGAGGAGTCGGACTTCTTGCCAGAAGAGCCGTTCTTGGCCGCCGCCGCCGCGGCCGCCGCTGCGCGCTCCTGCTTTCGAAACTTGGCTCGGCGGTTCTGAAACCACACCTGGCCCCAGAGGGGAAGAGAGGTGATGAAGTAGGGGAACAAAGAAAGAAAGAAAAACGGGAAAGAAAAGTGGCCTTTAGGGCCTCCGAAGTCCCTTTTCTGATGGACTTCACACCTGCTCCCCACCGTCTCCACGCGCTACAAGCACCACAGTGTGCGCCCGGCACACCAAACTGCCCTCCGTGTTGCTAGTTCATCTTTAGGGAATCTTTCCCAGGGCGTGAGCATGCCAGGGAAATGGCGCCTTCCAGCAGAGGTAAAAAAGCCGCAGGTTGCAGGAAGGACCTAAACTGGAAGACTTTTGGGGGTGTTCTTAGCTCAGTTTGCTTCTTGAGCAACTGTAAATTGGCCCTCTACCCCTAGGCCTTAGAGTTCAACTTGAATTAGTAGGACGAGGCTTTGGAGCCCCCTGTTCATCTCCGGCTTGTGGGCCTGAAAGGTGAAGATGAGCCGTCCTGAGAGGGGCCGTGATCTGCTCTCGAGCGCAGGTTTGTTCCTAACAGGCTAGGGTAAGCTATGGTTCCTGACCCACGTGGGGCCCTTTGAAATTTGCTACAAATCAGTTTCCGGGAAAATGCACCTATATGCCAACGCACATACAAGCCCCAGAGGTTAGAGGAATTTGGCAGAAGTACTCATAGCACAAGGGTAAAGTCTGCACTCCTGCCTCCAAACGCGTCGCTTGCTCGTCCTCATTCCAAGCCCCCTGAATGCCTCTGCTCCGATGGGAAACACTTTGCAGCCGTAGACAAATCCCCAAGAACCCCAACTCTTCCTCGCGTGGACAGCCACACCTAATTCTACCAGTCTTAGGTTCCCTGGCCCTTTTCACGCGAAACCCCGGGATTTCTCTCAACAGCAACCCCTAACCCTCACACCGACGCTGTCCGGACAGGTGGGGCGGAGAAGGGTCAGTTTCCGGGCTGGGGTACCTGGACTCGCGCCTCAGTGAGATCGATCTTCAGGGCCAGCTCCTCCCGGGTGTAGATGTCGGGGTAGTGAGTCTCGGCGAAGACCCTCTCCAGCTCTTTGAGCTGCGCGCTCGTGAAAGTAGTGCGGATGCGCCGCTGCTTTCGTTTCTCATTGAGGCCGCCGTGGTCGGTGAAGAGTTTGTAAGGAACTAGAGGGTGACAGAAACAGGGTATTAGCAGCCGAGGCCGAGGAGCGCGAAGGCGGGTACTCCAAGGTCAGATCGCCCGGGAGCCGCTGCAGACATTCGAGTGCAGGCTAGCAGAGAGGAGCTGCCGGGAAAAACCAAACAAATTAGTTATATACGAAAACAGGGGCGCAAACTTCGGGCTTTGACAGAGTCCCTTCTGGTACAAGTGCATTCGGATGCGTTGAAGTAGCGCGTTGGAGATGGCTTGAGGCCCGGGACGTGGGATAGTGTTTTCAGCAGGAAAAAAAAAAGTCCAAAAAAACGTCAGGGGGAATATCAGGGAGCCAAGGACGAAGTTACCAAACACTCCCACTGTTGCAACTTTTCAATTCTCAGAAGTTGATGCGGCCCAAAAGTTGGGGCAAAGTGCTGCAAAAAAATAATAAATTAAAGAAATGATCACAAAAATGACCAGCCAAAGAGGTGTGAGCCGCTGTCGGTTCTTAAAAAAAGAGACAGTGCCAGTAATGAGCTTTACTCTTTGTTATTTAATTATTTTCTAAGCTTTACGTCTCATCGCAAAGTAAATAAATTATGCCTATCATTTTGGCAGCTTAAGATAATTTTGTTGGCGGTTCGGGTGTGACTAGGATAGTGTAACCCTGTAAGTGAATTACCCCTCCCTGCAATCGCTTCTAACGTGATAAATTCTTTCATTTGTGTAAGCAAATTTCGTTTGGTAAATACTAAACACATTTCCATTTTCAAATGCAATCAAGGCTTCCTATATACGAGAGGAAAGGCGGCTTCCTCCGCGGAGAGAGCTGGCGGTCCTTACCTGCGGCATACGGACTGCTCTGGTGGTCCCTGAGGGTGCCGAGGCTGCAGGATCCCGGCGTGAGGGACGGGCAGCCGGACGTGGCCCCAAAAGTGGTCCTTATCGGGTTATACTGGAAGCCACTGGCCTGGCTGCAGGAACTGAAGTCAGCATAGGCTGAAGCCAGGCTCGAGGTGTCCATCCCAGCCATACAGGACTCGTAGGCAGAGGAATTGAGGTAAGAATATTCCATTTTATACATTGAAAAGGTTCTGGATGGCTCAGCCAAGTGGAAAAATGAAATAAAAGATGGATATGGAGAAGGTGGCTGGAGTGGGGAGATGTGCACAGCTCAACGCCTGCCTCCAAACTGGCCTCCTTACTACCAGCAGAGCCTAGTTTTATGAAAAAGCCTCCTATGAGATGCCTTGTCTGAGGTCTCTAGAGCATATAGTCCTCATAATAAACTTGGCTCTTTCCACTTGGACAATAGCAAAGCGGTTGGTCTTATTGCTGGCGCTTTTTACATGACAATAACTCATCCGTCTATTGGGCTGGCACTGGGGAACTGAGCTGTCCAACCTCCCTATCATTGATTCCTGCATCTCTAATTAGAATTTAATACCACACCATTACGCACTGAGCCCCTGATCCTCCCTTCTAACCAGCTCCCTGCCCTTTAATTCAATCACACTACTTGGAAATAATGAAAGTTGGGTGACGATTCTCCCTGATCCAATTTCCCCAAGCTTTTAAGCCTTTTTAACTGATCATATACCTTAGGCATAAATTGAGATAGTGTGTGTGTGTTGTCCCCCTTCTTGGTCTTTTTTTTTTTTTCTTGGTTAGGGAGAAGAAACCTTGATGTCATAGAAAACCTGTTTTGTAAGAGTGTTACACGCTCAATTTAACAACAAGCCTACCCCCCGAAGTGCATGAAATGTTATAAAGGACTGGGACATTGTTGAGACTCAAGCGCCCTGTAACATAGAGTAAGTGGGCCACGGGGGCTTACGTGAACCATAAGCAGATTTCTTTCAAATACACCTGGTATAAGGGGTGAAAGAAAAGAGAGAGCGAGAGAGAGAGAGAGAGAGATTCTTATCCATTTTCTCTATCCTTGCAGCTTAATTCGCTTTGGAAAGACCCAGAAATACAGCCTCTTAAAAAGAAAATAAATTTAAAAATTCAAAATCTAAGTAAAGCTCTTAAATGTAAATATCTGAATTCTCTGGGTCCCTCGAGCTCAGTGTCGTGTCTGCATTAGCACCGGTTTGCCCTGGGTGAGTTTGGAGGTTCCGTGTGCGGTTGTTCCGTTGTTTGTCGTAATTACCCAGTAACTACCAAGGCAGCATGAAGTGTACCCCAATGAGTCTCCTCTTGCATTCCTCTCCTGTTCTCCCCATCAAGTTCCCCCTGCCTCTGCCTTTTTAGGGTGGTCAAAGTCCCCCACACTCACTGAGCTTCCCAAAGAGGTTTGACACCTGTCTGCCCCTAAGGCTTGCAGACAGCTCAGAACGAAGCCCTTGCTATTTAAACACCCACGGAAAGACTCCAGGCCGGGCACCTTCCTTCTTTGATTCTTCAGGCTCTTGGGTGCTGCCAGCGAGGTGCAGACAAGGAAGCTAGACGTGATTTGTGGACCTCAGTGGCCCCGTGATTTAAGCGAAGGGTAATTTTCATTTGGTTCGTTAGACTCTAGCAGAAGAAGGGAAACTATTTCATTAAATCCTTCCTCTCGGTGGACAAGAGGGGGAATGCTTAGTTGAATCGCCGTGTGGTGTAAACAAACCCTGGATATTTTATATGAATTAAATGTGTAGATAATTAGTTTTATTGCATTCATTACCCCCTTTATGTGCTCTGTAACAAGTCAGTAATTAAAGTAACAAACTCATAAAGTCTTTATAGGGGCATTTAGGCGTTCAGTGTTTGCCAAACTAAGTGGTTTAATTCGATGCTAGTGCCGGGGAGTGGATGGCGCCCGCTCTCCACTGCCACCCTATTTTATTGCGCACTAAACTGCTGCGGACGCCCTAATGGATTAGGCAGGGGCCGTGGCCCCCCAGCCTGGCCTGCGCTTCTGTGCTGGGTGAGTCTCAGGGTTGTCTCAGGTGTCTGCGAGTGTGGAGGACTAAGAAAGCACAGAGGTCGGGAGCGCAGGCAGCTGGACCTACGGTGGAACCTGGTGATAGCTTTATGGGGAGGGCTGATAGTTTTATTGCAGTTGTATGTTGTACAATGCGTATTTGATAAAGAAGAGCCCTTGGTGACCAGTGTGCACTTTTTTGTGCACAAGGGTGAAATGAAAATAAATGTGTACAAGGTTTTACTGCGGCGGGAAACAAATTGCAATGCTCTAAATGGTTTTTCTTTATGGCTACCAGACAAGAGGAGAAAAGGGATGCCAACATCTGTCTTCAGTCCCCTAAACCTAAAGGCCAGCAAAGACGGATGCGAATCCAAGTGTTATTACTGCGGGGATTTGTCTCTATTTATCCCACTCTCATGAATATGAATCTGCATTTGGATCGGGAGGTGGCTGCACCCCTTTCAGTCCCGCACATGGAATTTCCCCTGTCCTTGTTCCCCACCGCCATCCACCTAGGGAAGGCGGAGTGGGGTATACATTGTCAAGCACAAGGCTGTGATTGTCCAAGTTCCTCCTTTCCCTCGGGTGTGTGTGGGGGGCTTCCTGGGATTTCGAAGGAGACCCTGCCGCTTAGGACCGCACTCTGGGGGTGCGCGGAACTTTGGCACAGGTGGCCCCCGACCACTTTTCTCTGCCGGAGGCAGTGACTCGAGGTGGCTTGGAGGATATGCATTTCGGCTCTTTGCTTACCAATAACCAGGTTCACAGCCCGCTTTGTGCGCGGGGGGGGGTGCACCCAGGGGCGCCGCGGGTGTCAAGCGCCCGCCTCCCTCCGGATCCGAGGGCAGGGCTATTGCCTACAGGGTCCGGGATAGCCTTCGCGACAGAGCAGGGACGTGGGCTTAGAGCCTGCAGGGAGCACGGAAAACGGCGCTTCTCGTCGGTAGTTTTTGAAGGTGGATCTTAGGTGAAATGTAGAACTTTGTAGTTTAGAGGGTGCCCTGGCCAGCTCGGGGGTGGGGGTAAACTTGGGGTGAGGTATTCGCTGTGCTGCTTCGGATAGGCAGTGTAGACGGGATCCGAGGATTGATAAGGGGAACAGCGGAGGGAGTAGGGCGAGGCTTCTGCAAGGCTGCGGAGAGTGCCCAGGGGAGCAGGCGAGGGACTAGAGGGACTAGCCCAGGACTCGGCGCCTCCACCCTCTGCGGTCTGGGTTCCTTTGGCCTTGGCTCCCGGCCGCCTGGGTCTCGGCGCCAGGCCTCTGCCGGGTGCCCAGATCAGCCCCGGCCTCTCTCCGGGCGCCCCCTGGTGCCCAGCCTCTCTCGGCCCGGATGCTGCGCGCCTTCTCGCCTTTGTAGGAACAGACCTTTCAGCTCCCGGCCGCACGGTCCGATGAGCAAATGCTCTTGACTTCATTTTCCCTTTTGTAGGCCTTGTAGGTTTATTTTGTTCAATGTTACCGTCCCTCCCCCCTAGCCCTGGCCCATCGTTCCTGTGCCGGTCTTTTGTGGCCAGGATTCTGCTTCTGCTTAGAGATGAAAGGCGTGCAGGGCTGGGCCAGGCCAGAGCCCCAGCCTCAGCGCCCTGTTTTGTTCCAGTTGTGCTTTGTACACGCGAGCTCTCCCCTAAAAGTTGTACCAAATGGTTAATTTAATTATTCCAACTATAGACCAACTGCTTCAGCAGCCTCCACCACGCGTCTGGGAGGAAAAAAGAAACCATCTATAAGAAATAATCTAATAAGAGTGAAGTGTAGAAAAACCCCTCCTGATTTTCAACCGGCACAAATAGAATTAGAGCTTCAGCATCCTTTTCCCAAACAGACCTTTTGTCCAGATCACAACTTCAGCCAACCAGCAATGTGTACAGTGCCTGCTATTTATTTTAATAGAGACGGGTGGGTAGGGAGATGGATTGATAGATAAATGGCCACATGGATAGATGGATGGTTCGATCCATCTTCCCCTGACTTTCCTTTCTTCATATGTGTAAACGGTTGATTTTTTTTTCCTGCTGATTTTCTTAATCAATAATGGAAAGGCAATGCTATGTGGTAAAAGAGGGGGGGAAAGCCATTTAAAGCACAAAAAAGGGAAGAGACTACCAGCATATATGCCATGAGAAAAAAAATGTTTACGTGCTACCCAGCACCAAATGAAAAAGGTTGAAAGTTTAAAAGAAACTTTTCTTTCCTTTTCTTTGCCATTCATAGGAGGGTTTCTTTTTCTTCTTCTTCTTTTTTTTTTTTTTCTTTAAAGTCAGAAAGAATGTTAGAAGACAAGGAAACAAAACAGCAAACAAAATGCCATTGTATTGTAGTAGCAATTCATGGGAAAATGCTTGTCAGCCTTCTAATGCCTCATTCCTAGGAGGCTGTTTTGAGGCTGTTTCACCACAGGCAAAGCACAATAACATGGGAATGAATAAAATATTAAATACCAGTGAGAGTTTCAGAGGAATTTTCTTTTTGATTGCTTTATTTAATGCTGCATCCAAATTATCCCAGTACAACCAACCCACTGCCTGGTGAAGACTCAGCATTCTCTCAACCAGAGACTTAAAAGTCAAGGTTCATCCTTGCATTTCTCCAGAAAGATTTCTGCAGGAATAGCCTTTCCCACACACCTGCACTAAGAAAACAATCCAGACAAAATTGACCAGGACACCATCTGCCCAGGATATAAAGCAAACCAACCACTGCATTCCCAAACCAGAGGTCCCACTGTATTTGCCTAATACTTTAGTTTTTACCATGTATTCCATTTGCATGACTCCAGAATATATGTTCATAATAGAAACACTTTAAGGCTCTGGTAAGTAACTTCTTGGTTCTATGAGACTCACAATTATTAACCAATAGACAATAATGTTTGCAGATTAAGACATCTGCAAAAAATCTGATTGATGTTAGCTACCAGTATAAGGATGATGGCGATGATAATAATATTGGCAAAATCTCCTTGGATTATCTATTAAACACTTGACTTCGGGGTTAGAATGGCCCATAGATAAAACATCTCTCCTATTGCATTCTTATATATTTGTAAGAAAAGGTAGAGAAATACAGGAGAGGACTGTACACTTTCAATGGGGGATGAGGAAACAACAAGCAGAAAATTGCCATGTTTAGGAATTTACTAGAAATCATATATATATATACATATATTGTA